ATTTAATGTTACTTTCCTTTTCTGCTTGTACATGCAGAGGCACAATTTACTTATATATTGTTTTGAACTTTCTACACATTTAGTCAAAAAGCGGTGTGGGTTTAGTTAAGAGTGCAAAAGTTGATGCCTCTACTTACGCAGCAAGAACAGAGATGTTTTCTCTTCACCAGCAGCATTGAGCCTTTTTATCAATAATTTCTTCTTTTGGAATAATGTTTGAGAAAATTTGTTTTATTGAAAATAAGAATTTCAATAAGATTTGACTGTAATAAAAATCAAAGAAAGAATCCTTTAGGTAGCCATTTCACTCTGATGGATGCTTTGTGAACAGGACATATTAATGTGCAAAACACTAAGTTTATTTAACACTGATAAAAATCCCAGCTTAGCAGAGAAACAATACTTTGAGCGATTGTCGTTAATTTGCCTAAAGTTGCAAATTGTTCCTAAATACCATCAGAGTTGGAAACATGTAGAAGAAACCACCATCGCTTCCCACCAACAATCCTTTTATTTCAAGTGAAGCGCTTATGTGTGTTTACAGTTTTAGAGAGATGTGCCCACGTTGTAGCCAGAAACACAGCTAAATTAGCGAGAAGTATTTTGTTAAACAGAGCTCTTTCTTCCTCAGCAGCTTGCTCTGAGACAACCACCAGCCAGCTGGCGCCCAGCCGACTTGTCAACGAGACCTGGAGTGACCTTACATGCACGGAGGTGGTGAAACAAGAAAGCGAAGGCAGCTTGGAAAGCCGCCGCCGCCGCCGCAGTCAGCAGGGAAACAGGATGAGGCTGTCAGCGTGCAAGCTGTGATGGAGTGTGGCTTCACAAGATCCGGGGCATGTAAGGCGTGCTCATACAGGTATTCACCACCCACATCTGGTCACATAATGCCAACCCAGCCCCAGCGGGGTCTGGAACTGATCCAGCTTCGCGTTCTGTCAGAGTCGCAGCATGCGACTGATTAATGAACCCGCACACTGTCAAAACGTGGCACTTTCACTCAATAAATGGCACACATGCGGCACCTAGCCTTAGCTTCTGCAGAGATCCAGCACACTGAAAAGCTTTTAACTCTGCGCCGCTCTGCTTTCATCCAGCTGCCATGAGTTTGGTTATTATATAAAGTAACATCGGCAGCTGGTAAATGGAAACAGGAAACAACAAATATGTCCAGTTTAGAAATCCCATTGTTGTGCATGGAGCCTGCAGTGCATTAGCAGGCATAGCATAAACCCATTGTGCCTGATGGGCTGGCTTTTATGCATTAGAACTGCTAAGCAGCACATGGCAAAATATACACATGTTCAATGTAGAGATGAGCTAAATGATGCTATAACTCATTACGTAGCATACAACCTTCTGCACATTGTTTGCATGTCTGATAAAGATGCATAAAAAGTATTATAATTAATTATTATCTTTTTCAGCAGTAGCATAACATCAGACCAAAACAGTCTAAAAACTCAAACATCCAGTATGAACAAAAACCTCAGAGTAAGAAAAAAAAAAAAAACAATATTTGTAAAAACTACTGGTGCAGCAACAATCCAAACAATTCCTGAAATAAATGTAACCAAAGCGTTTCTGCTAAGGATGGATCGGCTCCAATTTCCTCAATTTGGTGTGATCTGCGATCAGTGGATACTTCCATGTGAACTTCATCGTTCTTCTGTTTTTTGTCAACGTCCAGAGAGGTCTGAAAGTCAGCCATTGTCCCTTTCTTATGCTGTGAGAGAGGGTTGATTGATAAACTCTGTTGTGCAAGTTTTGTTTGTTTGTTTTGTTTGTTTTTAAAATATAAAAAAATGAAGACTGAAGGAACTCGTTTTTAATTTAGCTTTTTAACAGTCTGAACAGCAACGCTCTAAGCTTTTTGATTTCATTTGAGAGCACTTCCTCAGACAAGTTTCATGGGCATCGGTCAGTGTTTTTCAGTAAAATAAGATTACAACATTGAACATCGGTCCATTTCTGTTAGCCACTCCTCAGACGAATGTGCCATGAGAAAGCTGCAAATCCTTGACATTTTAGTATTAAGTCCTTTATTAAAGTGCGAAATGCGGCAGAGAAAATCCCAAATGTGCAATGCGCACTAATTTATCGGCAAACGTGAAACCCGAAGACCTTGTGAAAATAATGACATGTTTATTTTCGCTTTCACACTGTCGAGAGTCATGCATTAGTAAGGAGGATTCGCTTGATACAATGACAGATGTGCTCTGTGTGTGAATGGATGTGGGCGTTAAAAGTGTATTTTTACACGTCTGCCAAATGCTTCAAAAGAGTGACGGCTTTCAAGCACCAAAATGTTGTCCAACCGCCGCAGCGAACATGCATTCAAATTGTACGTTGAATGAATTTAATATCGTCATAAAAGGCATTTCAAACCATAAAGATAAGAAGGAAAGAAAGAGAACGTGGGTTTGAAATGTGCCACTGCACAAGAGTCCTTTGCAACAATGGGGACAATACAGTCAGCCAGCAGGTCATTCCAGCCTCTTCACTTCTCTCTTATGCACTCTTTCACAAATATCACAGATTTAATTACCAGACTAACAAAGTCATGGAAATGGAAAGCATAGTTAAAATAGCAACATAGAGGGATCAGGGTAACAGATTTCCACAGCAGCAGAACCAGAAAATTAGGGTCACTGAGACATTCATATTCAAATTTAGCTCAGTTTTCCCTCCAAAAAAAGAGGAAACGTTCACAGCTAAATCTGTACTGTTAGTTAAAAGACCAACTGCGACTTAAAATGACTCCAGGAAAAGGTAATGAGCGACTCACAGCTGTGTCAAAGCTTCTTTAACAGGAGCACACTCTAAATGTAGACATGCTGTTACCGTTCTGCCTCAATCTCAACTTCTGTCTCTGCTGCAAGTCAAACCGATTCTGAAATTAATTAGAAGCATTGGGGAAAAATTATGAAAAGAATGGCTGCGGAAGGCCAGCTCTGTGCTAAAATGTCCTCTCGACCCAAAGCAACTAATGACACGATTTGATTGAATTACACTTTGCTGTTGTTGCGCCAGAGCTTTCCCATTTTAGGACAATAATGGGATTTCTATTCTATTCTATTCGAGAAATGTGCCAACATTCAGAAAAAAAAAAAAATATTTTGCCTTATATAATGTAAAATTCTTCCAAATCTTCAGGGAACTTTTGTGCTCTGACACAGAACAAAAATAAACTTATTTTGGAATAAGTAATATGTTACGGCCCCCAGTTTGTGTCTTTGTTCCTCGCCGAGTTCGGAGAGAGACCTTCTGCCTGAGCTGCTGGTTGGCTTGATTTCTGCCTGCTGCTTAAAAGCTGCCACACATGCAGCACAGGCTCCCTTTGCTCCCTCCCCAGATCCCTGTTTGGTTTGGCTTGTGTCTTATGGTTTGTCAGCACTGTTTTGGCTTTTACTTATTTGATTTTCCATGAGTTTTTGATGAACCCAAATTTGGTTTTTCATATTAAATATTCTTTTTCAGGTTTTATTTCTGTGGTATAGTTTATGTGAGTCCACCCAACAAGCCTGGACGTAACGGTAAGTAAAATAGCGAATACTGATAAAAAAAAAAAAAAATCTTAATAGACAGGAACAATCAAGTTGACCTTTTTAATCCTAAGGGTCTGAAAACAGAGTTGTTAAATATGAAATCACATGTTTACATACATGGTATGGTCCTCTGAGGCAGCCAATTAGGTTTCACCTTTTTCTGTTTAAAATTGGGCTTCTGTCTCTTTAAGAAGCTCCTGCTCTTCTCAGCACTCTGCCTTCAGGAAGTCACCACTATTTCACATCTCTATTGAGCATTTAGCAACATTTTTACCAGCAAGCTACTTCTTGGAAATAAGGATTTTGATATTTGGAAACCTTTTCTATAACCTGATGAAACTACAACTGCTTGGTGGAAGAAAAAAGAAAGAAAAACTAAAAGAAAAGAAATTTAAATTTGTACTCCCGGAAGGTTAACTTCATGAAGAGTTGGAAGAGGAAATGGGGAAACCACTGACCTTAGCAAACAGCGCCCCCTTGGCTGCCAGCGCGTCCTCTCCTCTCCCGTTGGGGTAGCACTCATACCGAGCATCCAGGATAGGGTAGCGACTGGCTAGCAACATTCCACTGTTCAAAAACTTAAACCTGGAGCAGCAGCCTTTCCAGCCGTAGCGACCGACGTCGCTCAGCACATAGGGAAAGTAGCGATGAAGCTGACGTCGAAGTCTCGTTGTTGCTCCGTGGTCAAAAACTTCCTGTAGAGCTAGAAAATCCAAGTTGGCAGGGAAAAAGGCAGAGATCTCATGGTCGAACGTTTCATCTCCATGGCGGCGTTTCCTTCCAGGTCTCTTGAAGATGGACGTGCGTGGTACGTGAGAGAGGGTGTTGTTGGAGGATATCCCTACTGCTGTGTCGCCTCCATGGTAACGAGTGAGGGATTCGCGAGAGGCAGTCATGCTGCCTGTGTCTCCTCCTGCCAGATCTCGATGGTTTCCAGTCTCAGCCTCCTCCTCCTGGGGGTCCGGTTCTGGGGCACTGATGCTGATCTGAACCCCTGAGGTGTGAAGCGGACACTCTGTGGAGGGCTTTTTCTGTGCTACCTCCCCGTGCATGGGGCAGTCATGATGGCCAGAGTCATTCTGACCTTCTGTTGAATGCATTGGGCAGTCAGTGGCATCGCTCGAGGGGTGGATGGGACAGTCTGAGCTGTTGGTAGTTCCAGCCAGGTGGAGGGGGCAATCTGCTGTGTTGTCTGATCCATCATGGTGAACGGGGCAATTGGTAAAACTCTGGTCTTCCGAAGGTGGGTGAACAGGGCAGTCGGTGGTGTCCGAGGGGTGAACAGGGCACTCTGTGACAGGCTCTATTTCAGTTTCAGCTGGGCCATTGATGGTGTGGACTTGCTCTGGACGCTGGTCCAGAGAGGACGTGCGGCGGAAACCAGTGGCAAGACTGCTGAAGGATGCTGCACTGAATAACAGAATGAAAAGAGAGACGTATTTAAAGGCATGGTCACTACACCAGCTCAGAAAACTAACCCCCAAGTCAACTTTCTTTCCTGATAAAGTGTCTAAAGGTCATTTAAGGTTCTTTCTTTATGCAAATTTTGATATTTTTGTACAATTGGTTTAGTTCGGCATTATTTTGCCTAAAACCGTCTCACTGCTCACCTCCGTTGGTTCGAACGGTTCTTAGACAGTTGAATTTTCCTATTGGCTGCAGCCGTACGGCTTGGTGCAACTTTGTTACAGCCCTGCATTCGGGAATAAAAGCACTGCTGGAGAGGCTAATGGCCGCTCTCACTACGTGCTCAAGTCATTCAGGCTGCAGCAGAGTGCTGTCGCCATAAAAGTCTCCAAAAATACAGAAAAAGAGTTGCTAGACTTATCAGTAGTAGGTGTTTTGAACATAAAGTCACTGGAGGAGTCTGAAAAATCTGTATATGTTGACAACAGTGCTTCTTTTGCCTTGATCTCACCCCGCCTTTATTTAGTTACACTTTAAATCCATCCATCCATTTTCTTTACACCCTTGTCCCTCAGTGGGGTCGGGAGGGTTGCTGGTGTCTATCTCTCCAGCTATCGTTCCAGGCGAGGTTCACCCTGGACAGGTTGCCAGTCTGTCGCAGGGCAACACAGAGACAAACAACCATGCACACACACACTCACATCTAGAGGCAATTTGGAGAGGCCAATTAATCTGACATGTTTTTGGACTGTGGGAGGAAACTGGAGTACCTGGAGAAAACCCATGCATGCACAGGGAGAACATGCAAACTCCATGCAGAAAGACCGGGGCTCAAACCCAGAACCTTCTAGCTGCAAGGCAACAGCTCTACCAACTGCGCCACTGTGCAGCCCCTATACTTTAAATGTTTTTTCAAAATAACAAAAAAAAAAAAATAATAAAATAAAATCCATCCATCCATTCAAAAAAATATATTGAAGACTTTGCTGATTTGAGAAAAGTATGAATTTTTAACCTTTATATGGACAAGAACTCTTTCAATGTATAACAATAGTCTCTGCAATGCACAAAACCTTTGCAGACGTAGAGTCCACTCACCTGATGGATGTGTTGGTTGGCGAGTCGATGTATATTTTAATCTGGGGCCGACTCGCACCATTGCGGATTCTCTTGCCCAGCTCGCGTGCTCTTCTCTGGGTGTCTGATAAGTTATTGAACCGGGCCAGGGAGTCCGGGAGGAGACAAACATTGGCGCTGCAGAAACAGAAGCTTCTGCCTTGTGGCCTCCATTCTCCTGTCCCAGCGCCACCTGCTTGACCTTGCTCTGCCTGGTTCTTGTCTGGTCTGGATACAAAGAAATCCCCCCCCCCAAAAAAATTCAAAAGTATGAAAAACATTTTAGAAATCAGCTTTTCTCCCTTTTTGCTGAGGGAGAAAAATGTTAAGAATACGAAGGTCAACAGAAATTTGAAAGAATTTGACTTGAAGCAAACCTACATGTGGATTATTAGATCCCTTCAAAAATAGGTGAAATGTTAACATCTTTGCAGCAAAACTTTGTCATATTCGGTGTTTTCTAAGGGACTGTTTAAAGATAACAAAATAAATTGTGCCCTTGTGTTGCCACAGTTTGCCACTCATATGTCGTCACGATTGAACAAAAACCAAAACAAACCAAAAAAATATTTTTCCACAAAGCAATCATGTTTACTCTGAGACAACATTTCTCCTTAGTGGTACAAAAAATTAGCTCAATCGACACTCACCTCCGATATGTGTACAGGTATGGCTGGCGGACAGCCTGCAGGGGAGCCCAAATGATGAAACCCAGCAGGGCAAAGGGCAGGGATGCGAGGAGGAGCAGCAGATAAAGAGGTGCAGCAGCCAGGACACACAGGGTGAGGAAGGAGCAGGGGTCTTGGGATCGCTGGCGCTTCTCCAGGGAAGTGGCCACGCAGGAGGCCAGGAGCCGGTCCAGGAGCCAGTAGCAGGGGAACACCAGGCTCCACGACAGCCCATCCAGGAAGTGCAAACAGGCACTGGAGTAAGGGGTGGTGTGGAGGACCATCTCTTCCCTTCTTTCTCTGTTCGTTCACTCTTTTTTTTCCCTCTCTTTCACTTTCTCCTCACCTCACGCTTTCTGCCCACACCCACATACACTCAGCAATCGAGCAACAAATCTGTCCCAGCGATTACATGAACAGAAACGAGTTAAAAATAAAATAAAATAAAAAAATGCAATCACAATCCAGCTTACACCCTCCCCCCTCTTTGGAGAAAGGAACACTACATGGTTTGAACGATTTTCATCTGCAGGTGGAGGCTTTTCTCAGACTCGCTGCCCCTCCCTCAGTTATTACACCCTCCACAGGAGGGCTCAAGAAGCACAGGCTGAAGGTGGCTCGTTGCCATGATGAAATCTGTTCGCTTGATGTCGGGTCTATGATTGCGAGGACTCCAACGACCTCCGAAGGGGGCATCCATTAAACATCACGATTTTCTGTGGCCCTGGAGAAAGTGAGGAAATCAATAAGGAGGGGGGGGAGAAAGGAGGAAGTACAAGGAGGATGTCAGTAATTGACTCGCTCTCATGTTTGTATCCTAGGAGGAGGACACATTCATTCAAGAATATCTGAACTCAATGCACAGCATACAAATCCTTCTAAAGATTCTTGCATTGGATGAAGCCACAGTGACAGATTTCACATTTCAGTCCCACCAGGATGAGCTGAACACAAATATACTGCACTCCACATCGGCAATTAAACAAAGCTCACCTGGTTCACCGTTCAAGACAAAGTTGAAACTCAGATAATGTATTCTGATTTTGCATTTTTCTTAAAATGTGAATAAAAGGCCATTTTAGGCTTCAAAGCAGACAGCATTGTTACCTGATTAGCTTAGAAAGTAGATGATGGCGTCATGTTCTCTTTTAGTTTTTGGCTTTTATGTTGAGGCAATTAAAGCCACTTTATAATCTTGTGTGAGACTAAGCAGCAATATTGTTGGATAATTGCAACAAAATTTGGGTTGGTTTTGGGCTAATTCTGCAGCAGATGCACACATGTGCAAACAGTTGCAGTGAAATATTTAGATTTTTTCAGTAAACCTGTGGCAACTTGTGACAAGGCAGTATTTTCCCACCATATGCTGTCTTCCAGTGCCATTCCAGCAAAAGCTGATAACAGCAGTGTGATGAGGGTGTCACCAAGTAAAGTGGCCATGTGTACCAAATAAAAAGGACTGGTTTACAGTCACCTATTATTATTATTATTATTATTATTATTAATTTTTCTGCTTTTAACACAAGAATGGGAACAAATTTCACTAATGTAAATCAGTCACAAGCAAATTACCGTAAATTCCGGACTATAAGCCTCAGATATCTCTTCCGCTCTAGGTTTTCCACAACGATGCAGCAGCATGTGCTAAATGAAAATGGGCGCCTTCTTCTTCTTCTTCTTCTTCTTCTGCTTTAGATTTCAACGGCAGCTTGCATCCATTATTTCCATTATGATCCCAGTATTATTTAAAAAACGAAACATCTTCTCTTTCCCCTCAACGCTATTTAACTGATCAACAACATTCTCAAATTTCAATTCCCTATTAAAACCTAATTCTGTTTTAATAGGCGATTTCTTCTTTTATTTCCAATTTTGACTTCCAATGACTCACTTTCTGCTAAAGAGCCCCCTGGTGGTTGAAGAAAAATCCACATATAAGCTGCACCGGCCTACAATCCGCATGGTTCGAAGCGCAGGAAAAAAGTAGCGGCTTATAGTCTGGTAAATACGGTAATTTTAGTAAATCTCATCAGCAGATGTTAGTTCATGAACAAAGACTGCACTGAATTTTGGCCAAGCTGATATAACCCACAAAGATCAAAAGAGCAGCAGCACCTCCTCAGCAAACACCGTCTCATCTACAGCCAGGCTATTTTAGTTCAGCAATTTATTTAACTTTTGTTGTTTCAAGCAAGCTGTCATGAGCTCACTAAGTGACTCAATTTTCCTCCAAACCGTACAAACCATCATTTGTGGTGTGGATTTTTTTTATATTAAATGTGCATTGCATATCAAAGTAAAAAAGCTCAAAAGGAAATCTGGAAGGATGTCAATAAAATTTGATTTATGTTTTTTCATTTCTGTCCACACCTGTCTCCTTAGAAAAGCAACTATGCATTTTTCTGTAAAAAAAAAAAAAAAAAAAAAAAAAAAAGAAAATCACGTAAAAGGCTTTAGAATAAAGTTACTCTGTGTGAGCCTTATGTCCTTGCAGTCTGTTGTTTTCTTCCAAAATGAGGCTTGTTTGTTCGATAAAGGGTTTTCCTATGAATAGCACATCTCTCTCTCACATGAACAATGAGCACTGACTACTGCATCTCGATAATCTTCTTCTCCACAATCCAACCCTTTTGTACACCATAATGGTTCTTTCCTAGGATGAGTGATCTGCCTGTAATGTTCTGTGACTGACTTGCATCCTGCTACTTTCGGTTGAGCAGAAGACGCAGTAAAGTCTGCTGATTCATCACCACATCAGGCTGACATATTGTGCTGCTTCTATAGGTGGTTGTTTTGCTTGTTTTGGTGGTCTGGCTTGTCTGAAGATCATCTGACTGCACTTGATTGTGCAGCCTGTCCTGTACTTTTGGTTTCACTTCTTCTATAAGTCAAATTTACAAATGTGTACCATCTGTTCTAAAATGATAACTTTATGAAAATGTACTCAGCTACATAAAAGTTAAACTGAAAAACAATTAAATTCACAGTCCCCATTGCATCTCCATATGAGCCACATTATATAAAACACATCTGATAAAAGATTACTGCTGTGTTTAAAGTTTTAGCTTGAGTATTTTCGTCTTATTTATGTAATATTTGACATTTTTGCTTTTAGTATGACTCTAGGTAAACTGTGATTTTATTGTCTTATCCAGTTTTCACAACCGTGTTTTTGTTCTCTGCACGTATTTGAGCAGGCCAACAGCAGACTTAATAGTATCTTCAGAGAATCATTTCTGTCCAATTATCTGCAGCCAGATTGCGTTTGATTCTATTCTTAGGCATTGTTTTATTACTCAACATTTAATTTAACCAAGTGGAGTTTTGTTTAGTTTATTCAGCACTGAAATATACCACATACACAGGAACATTTTGTGAAACTTTATTTGTCCCACAAATAAAGTGAGTGTAACTTAATAAACTTAACTCTACGGTTATATAGTGTATTTCATAAACTAGACTCTTTTTACATTAAATTAGGTGGATTGCATAAATACTGTAAATGTTTAATCTCGTCTGGAGAACAGCCTCATCATGATGATACAGTTAATCATTTTATAATGCAGGTGTAGCATTTTCAGAGTATGTACAGCCAAATACATGTATTTCGAAAATGAGGAGAATTTCAGGAGTGGCGAGGTTGTAATACAAGTTTCTAGAAGAAGCTGAAATGGTTCCATAACAGGCCTCACTAGTGTTGAGTTGCTATATTACCAACATCACTGGATGGCATTTCAGGGTATGAAACTCAAAGTGAGATCAAGGTTAAAGCAGGTCAGCTACTGGGAAAGATAGCCTTCGCTGAGCTGTGGGGTTTTGTTTGTTGCTTCCTTCTGTTCTCGCGGCAGAATTAAACACTGCGACCCGCAGCATTTAAAGACTTCCACTCTTCAACACGGCTGTCTTTTCTTTAATCATCTGATGGATTTTCTCTTTGGTAACAGCAGACGGCATCAACAACCAGTCCCTGAAAAATACCCGTCAATCAGAACAGATATATCAGCAAGTGCAGCAAGTGTCAGTCTTGGCCTTATCAGGCTAAATGCAGCTGTGCATATTTTATACTCAAAACTGAGCACGAACATGAAGAAACAGAAAAAAAAGTCATGATGACGTGTGCCATGAAAAAGTCATATTGCAAAAAAAAAATCCTTTGCAACCTTTACAGAAAGTAAACCTAAACGTTTGCTGCTTGACAGACGTGTGATATGAGGTGTCAGTTCATATTCTCCTTTTTATTTATGAAAAAATAGCACACCGGTATAATAAGGGAATCAAAATGATTTGTACAAGGAGAGAAAATAAGCTCAAGCCACAAAGTATCACAAAATGCTGTTTAAAATAAGGAACATCCACACTGAAGGGTAAAATAATCTGTAGAAACACAAACACAACAAATGTATCTACAAAACAACCACAGTTGCTCTATTATTTCCTTTCCCACGAAACAGTGACACGCTGAGTGTCACAAAAGGGGGATGGTGGTTACAAAGAACGTCAATGCAGGTAAAAGGGAGGTAGAGGTTCAACAAAACTGTCAGGATTTTGGGTTGTTTGAGTTGGTTTTGGGTCTGTTTTACTTACTTCAGTTCAACCCTATCTTAGTGATTCACCATCACAGTATTAAATCCTGCTCCCATGTTCACACTCCTTCCTGGTTCCTCCTGTTAAATTCTGTCATATTCTGGTTTTTTCCCCGGGTGAGACTCTGCTTTCTTTCTGTGAGAAAACTATTTCCAGGTGATGTCCAAAGTGAATAAGTGGTGCTTTAATCAGAACAGAGTGTGGGAGTTTTGTCTAATTTTTAAACAAAATAAAAAAATAAAAAATAAAATAAAAAAATCACACCTAATAAATACATTTTTGTAATTTTCATGAACAAAAAACTGACAGATTGTTATGGGACATTTTGGGAATCTGCCTTATTATGTAATGATAAATTAAGGTCAAATTTTCAAATCTAATATTTTATTCCATACCCCGACTTCTGAACTTTTATCAAATGGTTTTTATAAGTAAAGGCAGGTGCAGGGAGCTCTTTACATGGCAGTAATTGGCAAATCTGATGTCAGTGATAAACGGCAGTCTTGTGACCTTGAGGATTGTTGGGAAATTCATCCATACGTCTGCCTCAGACAATTTCCCTTCCAGCCAGAATCAATACTGTCTGCCTGGATAAACGACAGGAAAACTGTGTTCTCTAGCGGTCTGCTTTGTTTCCATGTTAGTCAATGTTACTGTAAGACTGTTAGCATTTGTTGGTGGTGTCGAGATAAAACACAAAATAATTCAAAAGAAAATAAAAACTTACTTTAAAACATGCAAAATGACTAGATTTGGATTAATTAAAAGTATTACAACCTTAAATGCAACCAAAGAGTGACAACCAAATGTCACAAAAACAAATTATATATATATATATATATATATATATATATATATATAAAATCAATATTTTAGTCTAATTTCCTTCTTCGCTTTTTCACAGCAATAGAAAAAATAAACGCGAATTAAAGATTTTATGATATTAAAATAAACATAGAGTGAGCGTAGAGTGTTTTGCTTATTTGTGTCATGATGGGTTTGAGATTCTTGACCCACATGCAGAAACACTCAGAGAATGGGTTTAGTCAAAAGGTTTATTTACAGCTCTGACAAAAGAAAAAGATAGTTGGAGTTTATTCTTTCTTCGGTCCAGGATCCGGGAATTATTGTAGTAGCTGGAGAGCGAGTGGGGAGAGGCAAGCG